AATGTGTCATTCCTGTTGAACTCTTTCTTAGCCATATCCTCAGGGGCTATTCCACAGAGTCCAGTGGGGTAAAGATGTCCTTTTAATCCCTCTGTCTAATCCTCCCCCCAATACAGGGAATACTAATCTTGATTCATGAGACACAAAAGTCCATCAAAGATCTAACTAAATGGTTTTTAAAGAGTTATCATTACTTACTTTTATTGTTGGTATCACTGGCTGGTCAGGCAATAATCCCAGTCAAAAGAAACCACTATGTTTACACATACATGTTTACTATAGCCACAGTGTTACCGCAATGCTGGAAGACTGGAAATACCATAGTGGTCATATCAAGACAGGAACAATGCCGTAAGCACCTAACAAGGAGAGACAGGCCATTCACGCCCTCTCTGGGTGTACTTTGTGCATCAGAGCACAGCCATGTTACTAGAAAGCCACCGAGGACTTCACCTACTTGGTTGTAAGCACTAACCCTAGGCAGCTCCATAAATAATTGTCGGGCAATAGGAAGATGCTACAAAACTGCAAAAATTCCACAGTCTTGCCCTGTGTCCATAAGCAGTTACAGGTACTGGTGCCTGGGGACCACAGGAGCACAGTTTCAAGAGGGAGACCTCTGGGTGCTCCCAGGCTCTGTCGCAGTGGGAACGGTGACTGCACCTCCTCAGAGCATGGGTGCTGCCAACAGGCGTGTGAAGGAGGGTGGAGCAGAGTGGGGGAGCTCTGCCTGTGTGTTTGTGCTTTCAGTGGCAAGCTAGTTCTTGGCTGAAGTGCCACGTTGGATGCCTACCTGGGTGTTGGTGAACTGGGTTTAAAACACACATCACCAAGCTTTCAGCTGTACAGGAATAGCTTGACAGAGCACATGAGGAGTAGTGTAATGGTTATGATTTCCCAGAACACGAGACCTGTCTCTTAGCAGAAGTTGTCTAAATCCTTATATCCAACCTGTCTTCCCTCTTTGATAAATTTTATTGCAGCCAGAGCCCACAATTAGGTTTTGACAGCTCTTCCCTTTTCACAGGCATCCTGTTCTTTTCATACATGCCTGGCTAACTTCTTTAGATTTCATTACTGTAGATTGCTTTTCATGTCACTGAGCTAAACAGAGACATATTTTTTTCCTTCCCAGGAATCAAGTGGGGGAGGGTGTCCAGCGCATCCAGGCTGTGCAGAGAAATATATACACAGCATATCATTTTGGTTCCTGAATCAGGATTAGTCTCAGCAAGAGCTTCTGGAACCTCTGTGGCCACAGCCATAGGACCCTGACTATTTGCTGAATAGGACTCTCAGTCTTCTACTGTGTGAAGAGCTATTGGTTTCAAGTAGTGTAATGTTATCCACTTGTAGCATTAATTCTCCATCTGACATTATTGATACTGATAGATTATTTGTATGGTTGTAAGCATTATCCAAATTCAAATAATAGTTTCTGTTCATTAGAACAACCCAGATTTTACAAGCAACATGATAGCAATGAAAACAAATAAATATGGGAAGCAGCAACAAACATGGTTCTTGTATTTGAAAAAAAAAAAAAAAAAAGTGCAGTATTGTGACTGGATAGCTTTCTAAATAATTATTTTTTCAATAATAATTGCCAGCGGACATTTATTTTTTGATGACAAGTTACATCTTCAGTCTCCGTGCCTACTTTCACCTCACATGAAAACAAATTAATATGGCTCTTTGCAAAAATTCTTAAAAGCTGAAAAAAATTTCTGTTGGGTGAGAAGATGATAAGTATGGTATTTGAAACAACAATAGGTGCTTTCAGAAAGAAGATAACCATCTGTATAACATGGAGGCTGTTAGTCCTCAACCTTTGTAGATCACCTTCCAGTCAATGTTTCTTAGTTGTGTCCATGAGGCTGCAAAAGGCTGGAAACATCTCACAGGTGACTGTGCTCTGTCAGGCACACAGGCCCACACACGGGTGTGCACAGCAGCATCTCACAGGTGACTGTGCTCTGTCAGGCACACAGGCCCACACACGGGTGTGCACATGCACACGCGCTGTCATCACAAAATACTCTTCCAAATATACAGCGCCCTTGAAGGCTTGCTTTATTATTCGTAGTAGAATTAACATGTTTATTTTACATGATGGCACCTTGTAAATGCTGACAAATTCTGACCACTAAAAAAAATAAAATCAAAGCATTGAACTCTTTCACATGATGAAGAGTGCAGAAGCCTTTCTAAGATAAGTCTTTAGCAACTCAAGGGGTCATCAGCTGGAAAGCAGTATCATTATAATTGCCTGTGCCCCGGAACAAGAGCCAGTGGGATAAATTTTTGCCACTTATTCAGCCATGCTTGGAGCTCTGACTTCCTTCAAACTTCTCTAGACAGAATTTGATTCACGTTTTTACATGTGTATTTTTATTTTAAAAATGGAAATGCAAAGTATGGGTCTTTTATACAACCTAGATGCCTGCTGCATACTTACAGACAGGGGGCCCTGGTCTTTATATATATAGTTCAGATAAGTTTATGTGCACACACATTGCTTCATGTCTTGTATGCGTTAAATACTTACCAAGCATTTTGGTTTTGCAATTTTGCTAACACAAATATGCATGCACAGATTGAAAAATATATTTGAAATTTTGATCCAAAATCTGAAAATTAGTTTTATAACCTATCAGTAAGGATCTTTGAGAAAATCACAATTGCTAGTGGGTAAAGCACAGCTTGGCACTTGCAGGGAATCCTGGATCTGTTGTAAATGTGTGCTGCAGCTATAAAGCAGAAGTCCTGTAAGTACAGTGGTTTTCTAAAATCTCATGCCATGCTATGGAGAATACAGCTACCATATAAAAGGATTCCCCTGGCAAGAAGAAGGAAAAATATAGCTATAAAGTTGCTCTGGCAAAACTGTTTCTCTACAATTCCAACTGAAGTTTTATATCAGCAGGCCACTGATATGACACAATGTTCACATCTATTCGTGCATCATCCTAATTTCAGGCAAAATCATACAATCTTTCCCCAGGCGCATCTCCCAGGAGTCAACACAGGGAGATGGGCATGAGCAAAGAAGAAGGACTTCTTCCTTTGGAGTAAGTTCTTTGGTTTCCTGGACAAATAATTATACACACATCCCTGCCTGGAGCGCAGAGCAGGCAGCTGCACGCTTCCCCACTGCAATGGTAGCAACAGTAACTTCTGTACAAAGGAAAACATCTATGCAGCAGGCTCATTTTGTGTCCACAGAAGAGTGCAGAAGCCTTTCTAAGATAAGTCTTTAGCAGCTCAAGGGGTCATCAGCTGGAAAGCAGTATCATTATAATTGCCAGTGCTTTTTTATTTATCACTCACACTTTAATTAATGCTCAAGGCTCTGGCATCAAGAGAATTAATTTGAACACAGTTGTTTGTTTTTGTTTTTGTTTTTGTTTTTTTTTAAAGGTATCTCTGTTCAGTGAACATTTAAGGTAGAATCCAGCACACCTCAAAAGCTTAGGGATGAGGAAGAAATTTTATTTTTTTATTAAATTCTTATAATTCTTGCTGACTCATTACTTGCAAACAGTTACTCAGGATGTGGCATTACTATGTGCTTTTTACAAATATCTGCCTTATCATAGCATTGCATATATAGAATGATAGCTATTTTCTATATTTGGATGCTTCACCCTTCATCATTATACTCCAATTAACCAATGCTATACCCTAGACCTGAAATATTTTCATGTTATGGTTTTGGTAGGCCAGTAGACTGCTACTACATTTGGACTGTAGTACAAAAATACAACAGCACATTGAAAGGAACAGAGGATACACTGCTACAAAATCACCTGAAAACCCAGAGAAAACTGTGGCTCCAGTACTGTTCTGTCTCTTTTTCTGATCTATTGTTCTCAGAGGCAAATTAGTAGGAGGCTCACAAGAATAATTTCAAAGCTGCAACCCTCATTTGTTTTCTTATTTCTTGTTAATGCATAATTACACTTTATGGCAAGTATTGTAAATCTAAAACAGAAAAGGAAATCCCTTAGAAATGCATCTCAGCAAGATTTTGTTCCCACTTCACTCATTAACAATGTGCTATTAATCTGTTACTTTTAGTTCTCTGTAACAAGCTACCATTACAGATACTGTTTTATGAAAAAGCAGTGAGTGTCAACTGGAAAACCTTCAAAGCTATTGACACTGAAGCAGAGTATAATGAGCAATTGTGAGATATTCCCATGCCAAAAAAATCACAACACAATCCTTCTGCAGTTGAGTGCTCACATATTTTTCTGTTTCCACTGAAAACAAGGCATTAAGAACATTTCTGTTCTCTTTTGGTTTTCCCTGTAAATAATCCCGGCAGTAGACAAACATGCA